AATTACGCGGATTAGACCCGTCCCCCCTCCCCTCCTATTTTATTACATTATTATTATTTCATAGATTTTCAGGGAAAATTCAATGTTTCACCGGATAATTCATTGGAGATCGAAGTTTTGAACATGAATAGTCAGTGATGATTATTCAAGTTTTTATTAATTATTGACATTTTTGAAGCAGATTGGGTAATTATTATTTTTTTTTTAGCTAAATTGCGGAAAATCAGACGCAATTCCTCGCCTTTCCCGTCGCTCTCTCCTTTTCTCTTGTTTTAACAACTTTTATATAGTGGCTATTCGCAGGCATGACTCATCGGTACAGAACTAGAATGATCTGTGATATGGCCAAGGCTACTATTATATTCCCCTCGTTACGAGAACGATCCCCACGACGGATGGATCGTAGAACTACGAGAGAATTATTTCACTCATCATAAACCCCAGGAGAAAACAATAAAAGACAAATATAAAATATGAATAGCAAAGAATTATTTTTTTCCGCAATTCAATTGCATTTTTACAAAATAATATAATTCAATAAATAAAATAATTCAATGATTCAAGTATTCGAATGAAATAGCAAGACAGACAGATTAATTCTGTAATAGCAAAAAGTCGAGGGGAATGAAAAATGTAAAGAAAGCAAACACATTAACTCGGTTCTAGTAAATAATCAGATAACGTGATGATAACGATCGAGTGCCACGTGAGTGCGTAAAAATACTTGGAGTAACCAATCGGAAGCGAGAAGTTAATGCCGGCCATCTCGTGTACACGTGGCCCATCGTTTATTTTTTTTTTCCTGTACTTTAGAGGCCACGCACACACGAAGAATAGGATATAGAATTGAAAACGTGAACTGTGCTTTGTGATATTCATTGGGATTTTATCCTCGGAGGAAAAGCGGCGGCTCCAGTGGGCGGGAGTCAGTGGAAAATTCTCTGCTAGGAAAGCCCAACGAAAAATCTATTTTTAAGACTTCCTTGTCGTCTAGAAGAGTGGATTTTATGGCCTGGGTTTAAAAAATAATCGGGGGCGTTAATATGAGAATAAAGCGTCAGTCCACAGAATTATCTATTTTTTTTATTTTTTATTTTATTTATTTAATATAATTAGCGCAGTGGAAAAACGGCTTTTTATTTTCAAAGCAATGATTATTTAATATCAGGGATATAATTTCTTTGCAGGATTTCATTGAAATTCCATTGAAACAGATAAATCGGAATTCAAATATTTTTTACCGGGAATTTTCACGAATTTTCAGTTTAACGAATGATGAAATAAATGTGTGGAGTTGACTCATCTAAAATTATCTACCGTCTGAATTTCCATGTTTCGGAGGAAGTCAACACCGTGGAATTTATTTCCATTGGTACTACGACCCGTTCCGCATGTAAATGCACATGAATTACGAATCCACGACGTACCCCGTGTATTCTCATGGCAATTCGTCTGTTTGCACCAAAAACCCGGACAAAATTGAAAATCAATTCAACCGTGGAACTTCTTCAACTCCTATCTTTATCTCACTCCTCTCTCATGCCCATAACCGGAATTCTCGACGTAAACAACCGATGGCGTCATGCCCTTTTTACGATCCCCATTGCAGGGGCTTGTGCTCTCCCCCAGCCCTGGGGAAATATTTTCAGAGGTTCAATTTTATTTGTCATGACGCACTTTCCGGCGGGATTACCCCATGTTTATGACCCAATTCTGTTAATTCTAATCTTTCAGCTGTGGTAATAATTGAATTACCAACGCACATATGTTATCTAGACTTTCTTCCAATTATGAGATTACTTCGGGAAATTTTGGTGTTTGGGAATTAAAAGGGCCTTCGATTTCCAGTCAACTGATCGCGATTCTATTTTTTTAAGAATTCTCCTCGTGGAAATGGAGTAAAAAATTTTATTACAGGTAAATTGACTCGGTAAATTGACTGCGGTAGAAATCGATCGGTTTGGAAAGCGAATTCCATGAATTTCCAGTGAAAAATTCTGGAAAATTTCCTTCAGAATTTTTTCCCCACCGGAATTTTTCACCGGTCATTTTTCGTGCTGTCTAATTACTCGCTAATTTCGTAGGAATGTTGAATTATCAGATATCTGTTCAGTCCTGGCCAACGAAAAAAGCCCCATCACCTCTGAGATATCGCTAATGAATTTGTAAATAAGACACATCTGTTATCGTAGGTGAAAAAATTGACCGACAAATCTCGTGGTGTTTACACCTCGTGTTTGAGGAGAATTGAGATGAAAAAAGGAGGATATGTTTGTAATCGTCTAGCTCGGGTACACATCGGGTGCAAATTCCATTGACCGTGCGAGAAGGCGCATTAACCCCATGCCCGAGTGAATCATCTGAATTTTAATAATAAAAAAATATCCAGGAAGTGGAAGTGGAATTGCCACAAAAAGGAACCTCCACCGATCTGAAAGCTCAATTTCCAAAATTCAATTTTCAAAAATTCCTCCACAACAATAAAAAATAATAAAAGACAGGAATACCGATTTCCATTAAATATGTTGAATATTTGAATGTCCATTGAATATTTCAATAATTATTGCTGCTCTCCCGAAAAAACAAAAAATCGAATAATTCTGGAATAAAAATGCGGCGGAAAAATGCAGGAGAATTGAAAAAGCTTAGGACCACGTGATTAGGAACTGCCCTCCTCCCCCCAAATTAACATAATTAATTGAAGACGAATGTTAATTATGTTAAGTGCCACGTGAGGTCGAGATATCCGCACACACTTAAATCATATCTGTCTGCCAGTGTGTCTGTTTCTCATCCATAAATTATCCTGAAACCCCCGAAGACCGCTTTGAAGATCCTGATTTATTTGTTATTGCGAGAGGTAAAATAAAACGAGTGGGGATAAACAATTGAGAACAATGCTGTAATTATGGGTTCGATAAAAATTTGATATAACCGATGTGAGTGACACACATGCGTGTCAACGAGACAACAGACCGTATGTTCTCTGATAAAAGCAGTTTCATCAAGCAAAACAAGATAAAATTGTCGAGGTATATTAACCTCCAACCACTGATATTTAATGGTAATCAGTCGTTCTGCGTAAACACCTACTTTAATTATTATTCCCGGAAATTAAATCATCGCTAGATTTTTCTCACTTCTCATTGCATTTTAATGCGCATCTCTTTCTCGACTATTTCCATTCTCCATTATCCGCATTATCAATTCAGTGATATTTTATTTGAAAGGATAATTTGATTTCTTTGGAGAGTGAAAATATTCAGATTGAGTTGTGAAAAATAATTGCGTACTGAAGCTGTGGAGATGACAAGATCTGTCACTCGAGGGGGAATGGAATAATTACAATGATCAGGGGACAACTTTCAATTGTAGGTCAAGGAAAACCACTTGAATCTAATCGGTCGATGGAAAACTGGTTCGATCCGATCGTTGCCGTCTCTGAAAATCGGGAGGAAATAAAATTATTCGGAAAATTCGGAGTTTTCCACTGACGACTGGTGGAAAAATCCTCTGTTAATTCAGCAGACAATTTTCCAAACCTGATAAATAATAATTCACAACAATCTACACTTGGCTCGCTTCTACCAGAATGACAATTTGATAAAAGCAGACAATGACATAAAACCGAGTGAGTCATCAAAATAAATGGAATTATTAATTTTCTACTTATGACGAAACAATTTTTAATTGAATTGTTCCAATTTTCGTAAACATCTATTAATCTTCAAGGCTGGTAGTCCCCCGAGGAAAAACAAAATCGTAAAAATCGGTATGTGCGGCGTAAAAAAGAGGAATCGAAAAATGGAATGCGCCTTATCGTACGGAATAAATTCAAAACCGATCGCCACAGCTGTGGCTCGTATCTTTTCATCGGGAATTATGGCTGCTGGTGGATTGGAGGGGGAGAGATAAAAATCAGGGTGAAAAAAGGAGACGGTGTTCGAACCAATGAGGAAAATCCCACGGTTGAGACTGTCGGCGCCCTGCAGTCTGCCGTAATACCCAACTTACGCAATACAATTACCCGCACGTGGGCCCACAAACCGAGAATTACACCCATAAGGGTTTTGTGGTTCAACGGAATCGCCGGCACATCAAACACCGCTGTTAAAACACAAAAACGATTTTTTATTTCAATTGCAACAATCGAATCATGAATATTGGAATTTTTTTGGATTAAACATTAGAAAAAAATAAAAAATAAATGGTTTTTCCTCCCATAAATCCTGAATGAGATTTTTCGAATTTTTCGAGCTCCAGGAAATTTTATTGCGTGATGAGAAAATTTCATTAAAAAAAGGGGAAATAATAATGAAATTCAAAATGCCGAATGGTGAAAGAATTTTGTCAGGCGAGAATTGATTTCATCGAAATTATCGATATTATCTGGTCGACTGGTTGCCCCCGGACTGATAAGACTCAAAATATAGGACAATATGTCGGTGGCCAATCCCCGTTGAGAACTGTCGCCGCACAGTCTGCCATATCCACAGCTGATCAGACAGACCATTGTTTCTCGATAATACAAAATATGTACGCTTACGTAATGACTCGGATAACGCAGTTTAATTACTCGCGTCCGGTTTGGTTTCGAGTTGCAGATACAGGAAAAAAAACCATCCGGTGATGTGTGCCACAATATCCATTGAAAAAATCGTACACTGATCCCGATCGATCAACTCATTTTTCCCATCTTCCGTCCATCTCCAATGATCTATTAAAATTATCCCTTGAAATTACCCAATTTATTCAATTTCCTCGAAACTCCAGTGAAAATCTCAATCTAAAAATTCGAGTGGAAAATTTTTTCAGCACAAACTTTCCGCCTCAAAGTGGAATTTTTTTACTGCCAGTGATAACAAACTATCTGAAATTCGCGTACAGATTGCACCCATAGTCCTCAATCAGTATTTTTTCAAATGCGAGAGACACATAAAAAAAAAAAATTCTTTGAAATATTTAAAAGTGAATTCATGCGCACCGTGACAGAGCCTTACCTTTCCTGCGTCCAAAAGGTCCGAAGAAAGTGCCATTTTTTCCAATGACATTGTCATCGATATATTTCATCAACTTAGCGGTGTCCTCTCCCTTCTTGACACCACTTGCTTTACCCACCCTCGTTGGCTGTCCAATCTTGATGGCTCCACCAGGTGTAGAAATCTGTGCTCCAGTAGTTTCCTCCGGCAAACAACTAATTCGCCTCTGAGACCCACACCAGCCCTTGCCGGATATCTTCACCGAGCAACTCATTATCTCATAGTCCCCGAGATACCGTTTATCACCTGTTATCTGCACTACCGCAAAAACCACGGAGGGCAGATCATAAAGCTGATCGTTAAATCTTAAAAAAAGCCCTTATGCCACACCGGAGGCGCAAGTGCGTCTACCCGGTGCTCCGTGCAACCGAGCACCTGTCGCTAAAACCGGTATAAAATATCTAAACCCGTGGAGACAACCGCAGGTGTAACAATAGCCCTCGAGCCCTCTGAGAATTCCCTGGAGTACCGCTACCCTCTGCCGCCAAAAATTCATAAAATTCAGAGGAAAAAAAAAAATCAACAAAAAAGCCACTGCACTGCACCAGAAGCCTCCGGAGGACACTATTAAAGCCAGATTCCTCGGAACGGACAATGCAACTCGGTGTCACTCTCTTTGTCCCTCTTTTCAATCAAAAAACGCAGAAGAAGGGGATGTACGAGGGAGATGGAAATTACCTAGTGAGAGTGCGCAATGAGTCAAGTGGTGGGGCTACAACCGGGGGCTGCTCGATATCCCTCTCGGTTCACCCAAGTCAATAACAAATGCACTTCAAACGCGATTTTTTTACTCTCACTCTCGATTTTCCCTCCAACTCAATTTTTTTGTCCAATATCTTTTTCACCGTTAACCGCGAAAATTCGTATCTATGATTCCGCGAATTTGAAGTTGAAGGAACCACCGGATAATTCCGGATTCATGGGTTTCAGGCGCCCGTTGGAATATCGGGTTTGTCCCTGTACTTTTGACACTTGACAATTGCTCTGTCAATTCCCAGTGCAGTGTCTCGTACTGTCAGCACGAGTTGCGCGACGAGACTGAGTGTCTGGTGTGGTTTGTACCCAACTCCCTTGGCCGCTCCTCGAAGCGTTTTCCCCACTTTGGTACTTGCCTCTGCGAGAGTGAGAGGACAAAGTCACTAGAAATAGAGGAATCATTTTCCCCAGTGGAGGAACTCCTACTCCCACCCCTCAAACATTTATTTTTCACTTCTGCACGCGTGACGTCACACCAACGCGCAGACGCACAGGATTTTCACTTGGGAAGTGATCTGTGAAAAATCCCTCGGCCTTTTTTTTAAATCCTCTGTTTGTCGCTTCCCCGATGACGTATCTTTTTTTTTTTCCTCCTCTCCGCCATTTTTTTTTATTCTTTCGATTTTTATTCTCAAGGTCACCGCGTCCGGAATGCTGCACTTTCGCTGGAACTTCGCGGCATGGGGCGCGCTGCACTTTGCATCCCAACACGTGCTCTATCTCCCTGGACACATGACTAATGACAACTGATTAGAGGTGACGCCATTTTTATTGTCTCTTCGGGTTTTTCCGGAGCCACAACACAGGTGTTATCTCGATTTTTTTCCTGTCGCTGGAATTTGGAATTTTGAAAATTTTTGATATTCGATTCTGGTATTTTTTGATGGATTTATTAAATGCAAGTGTCGGAATGAGTTAATGAAGTTTACGTTCATTGGTTTTAATTGGTGAGTGAGGGCCTACCATCTTCCGGTTGATGAGTAATTGATCAGCCGAGCTGGGGATTGAATCGCCCGACAAAAGATCCAGTTACTGGCATCTCCAGAAGCCCAGCGTTAAATTCCCGTGCGAAATCATCCGCGAATAATCCGCGTGAGAATTGATAACAAACCTCCGTAACCATTTGGATTATTGTTTTTCACTCCGCGTTGATCCAGAATTCATATTCATCTATTCGCTGCATAAATTATCGATAGAATGCATGAAGAATTAAATGAGATGTTGACTGACTCTGCAATGAGTGATTTAATTTTCCGGTCTCAACGCGGAGAAAAAAAAATGGACTTGATTTTTCTGAAAGTCACTTCATTAATCACTTAATCCCCTCGATCCAATCAATTTATGAAAATCCAGTAATAATTCAAATGAAAGTGGTCAAGTCCTCCATGAGCAAGACTTCGCGTCCTGTTAAGTTGCAATTAAAATCCGCTTTTAGAATAAAATTACATTTCGATTAGCAAATCAATAAATCTTGTTTCTGAGTTGCAAAATGATTATTTTGTTGCGCGAATGGTGCATTTTTCATTGGTCATTGGCTCCTTCGCGTGATGATTGAACGTCAATCCTTCTATTTCGGTGGTTCATTAAAATAAAATCCCACCACTGACCTGGCCAATACTTCCTGCCAAATGCTCGAGATATTTATGCGATTAACGCACGAAATATCCTCAACAACTCGACTCCACCTCGTCTCCACTCATCGCTAGATTCAAAATCACCAGCCAAGAATAACAATTTTACTTGGCACAGCACAAAGAAATTGTTCAAACATCGTTTTAACGTGCCAGTGGTGCAAACGTACCGTTGCATTCAGCGACAAATTATTATTGTCAATACAAATATTCGCTGTGCAAATTAACAGCATTCAGTTGACGCTAACATCTGACCATCATAAATTTACCTTTTAATTTGACGCAGAATAATTCAGGGTGCGTTTGGTGTCAGTACTTCAACGATTTGACAGGTGAGGCAATTCTTTCGTCGATGCACATCGCACTCGAAATATTCTCTATCCACGACCTTGGGCATGACTTGTGAAGCTGAAGAGGAAATTTGCATTTTCGGTGGGCGCTCAATCGTTATAATTGGACTTGCGCTAATGATGGGCTATTGAGGTGCATCGATCGATCTACAATGGGCTCTGGTATTCTCCTCTGATGCACGAACTACAGGTTTTTGGTGTTTCCGATGCCCCAAGGCCACATCCTCCCCATCTAGACAAGAGAAAAATATATTTTGCTATTATTTACACCGAAAATAACCGGTTGTTTTTATTTCTGGTTTTTTTTTTGCGGAATCGGTTGAAAAAGTGCGGAATTAAACTCGTCGCAAGTGATTTGAAGCGAATTGGAGGCGAAAACACAGGAAATTGCGATTTTCACTCGGTGGAAAATTCAGGATTATATTTATCTGCGGTTTCTTGATGAATTTACTGATTTACTGCTTCCATTAATTCGTTAATTTTATCGGGATATAAATTCTCAAATGTGACTCGCAGAGAAATTCCTAGATTTCTTGAATTTTTGGTTCAAAATAAAAATCTTTGAAAATCCGAGATTTTCGCTAGAAAAATATCGAAAACGCAGTCAATAATTTCTTTGAACTTTCAATCTGTTAAAAATTAAATTATATTTATCACCGAATTTTCTTCAATTGTCAAAATAAATTCGAAATTCGGTAATCGTCTTTAATTACAATTGAATTCAGTTTGATTTTTCATGCAATTAAATTTCGTATGACTTTGTGACTGAAATTCCGCGAAATTTCCAACAATGTAGTATATTCTCGCTTTTTGTGCAACATTCAAATCCATTAGCGCTTTTAGCCCCCAAAAATGCACTTCGCTCTACTATTTCGTTGAGGTGCCAGATCTTCATGGTGACGCACGAGTTCAGCCTTGAACTTCAAGATGTGATAATTCACAGCTGCCTTGGGATCCCTGAATCTTACATCGCTGCAGGCATCTAGACACTATTACTCACACCCAAACGATATTTCATACGCACATGCCGATATCTCCGAATTCACATTCAATAAACGGAGATGCCATCGACCGCCCATTTTCCTCTTCATCATTCGCTCCAAAAAAAATAAATTGCTGAATAATTCAATGTAAACTGGGCATGATTGATGAGAAAATTTCCTGAATTCCCGAAGAAGCTGGTGGTCAGGAAAAAATTCTAGTAACTCCCAGCGCGAATTTTAATTGAAAAGTTCAACAAAAAAATTGAAAAATCGGGTCAGTGATTCCAGTGTGGAAGTCTGACCCAATTTCCAACATTAATCCCTGTGGTATCTCCTCCACTCCGTGACCTTGAACTTGTTGTTTTTTTTTTCACCAGTGATAGCCGACGAATTCTAGATAATAAATTAGGTAGCGTGACAAGTGATTATCGCCGTTCTCGATCAGACATGGGCATTTCGACATTTCCACTCAGTGGAATATTTCTCAATAAGAGTTGAGTGACTCATCAATTAAAATAGTTTGAAAATAAACTGACGATCCTCTCGGAATAGAGAACCACCTCCTGACGTTTTAATTAAAAATTTGATTAATTAATAATGAATCAAATGAAATGTTGTGGAGTGAAATAATTGAAGTAACGGGAAAATTCGGTGAAGTAGGAGAGAAAAAATTTTTTTTTTTAATATTGAGTCGGGCCAGCCAATCATCTGAATTCATTCTCGAAAAATTCTCATGACATTGAGTCATTTTTCCCTGACATTGCCACCAGGTTTCAATCATATCTGAAACTGCCTTCCCACACTCAACATGAGTTAGTGTTAGTTGCACTTTAATCACTGGGACGTGACAGTTTTAACCATGCACTGGTGCAACTCGTGTTAGTCACACGTTGCCAAGTCAATTTTTTTTTTTTTGCCCATCGCTGGATAATTGCCGGCCAAGTCAAGTGATGCAAAATGTTAATTCATCATCGAAGCGTGGGTGATACCTCGGTGAATCGCGTAATATTTATTCGTCTGCATAAATGATGATGACAACTGCACTCGGTACATAATTCCCTCCTATTCCGAAATAATAAAAAAAAAACCCTCCGACTTTCCTCCGACACGACGGAGATGACGTCGTTCTGACGCCCGTTAAACATCCGTCAATATTTTTTCGGACGTTAATCACTCATTAAAAATTTTACACCCAATTTTTAACGACTACAAATCACTCAATATCGGGAAAATATTGCCCACTTTGCCTCTCGAAAGTTCAAATATACATCTCGAAACGTTAAAAACTCATTTTTCCCACTCCGAAAATTTGTTTATCGCCTCCACTTTCTTTTTTTTTTTCACCATTAAAGTTCTGTTTTACGCGCAAGTCCAAAGAGATCGTAAAAAAAAATGCCGTTGAATTTTCATGAGGCCAGAAGCCGTAAAAGTGAGTGCCCAAAAACCTTCGATACACGAGAACATATCGATTGTTAATTCATGTCTTACCTCAGTATCACGCGATATGACTCGCGTTATTTCTTCGTCTACTCTTACATCATTGCCAGAACGAATCTGTGACAAAGTCTCAGGTTTCTCTAACGACTTTTTTCCCCTATCGATCCCCTGGAACTGCCCCTCATGTAATTGTGAGCCCATGGGCTTCCACGAACTGAGAAATAGTAAACTACGCACAACAGTCTCCATTCATCAGTCCCTCGGACTTATTTATTATTTAGAAGTACTTCTGATAAAGTGCATCGAATAACTTTGACTCTGGTTTCATAATATTTTCATTATCTCTTGATGCATAATTACACGCCTGAGGGGATTATCGCCCATCACCGGCTTCATGTCTTCATTGATAAATTATCGGAAGTAGTGGGAGGGAAGGGGTGAGGAATTCCATGAAAAAAAATAAAGGGGATATTTACCTTGAAATATTGTAATTTGAATAATTCACAAATGGGCGATCACGGTTTTGAAAAATCACCCACGACCATGAGATTAATTTGAATTAATTCTGAAAATTTACCGAGATGGAGTAAAATGGTGAGAATAAATCGTCAATTACTGGACAATGGCTCGGCCGTTGAGATATTTTATCGAGGTCGTCCTTTGAAAGAAAATTACTTGAATTTATTTTTCCTGTCCCCTTTTGCGTTGTGCAGAGAATTTAATGGGGGAAGCCAAACTTTCCATGGTAACACGATCGAATAATCCTGCTATCCTGTTATTTGACAGTTGCCGGAACTGTTCCTTCGGTTCGGACTTTTATTTATTCCGGTGTCTCCCTCATGAGTACTTGCCGTCAAATTTTTATTTCATTGGCAATAAAAAATTGAAGAGGTCCGGGGGATTTTTGACAGATAACGGAATTTTCTGCTCTCATTTTTCTCAGTTGATTGGAATTATTGGAAGATGCTGAAATTCCAGAAGGCGACTAAAGAGGATCTCAAGGCTGCTGCTTGCATTGAGAGAAAAAAGCAGATCGAGGAGGCGAGGAAGTCACGGATTTTCAATCCTCGAGTGAGACGCATTGGGGTGAGGTTATCCGAACATATTTGTATTACAAACTTATCATTTCAACGTTCGACTTATCGATTCCACTCGGACTGTCCTTGAGGACTTTGCGATCGTTGAAACTCAACTCTGCAAATAAAACCGCAAAACCTATCCCCTTTTCCCTGACTTCGGAATTTTATCCGATAATTTCCAGTCGATTCCATTGACTTCTGTCGAAATATATAATATATTTTTTTTTTTGAGGGGATGAATGTTGATGATTTAAAAGGGCCGATTGAATGATCCACCTCTCGATAAATCCACAGCGACAATTTCCCCGAAACTCATAAAATGGCAATAAAAAATTTCTGCGCAGATAGATAAAGAGTTCCTGGACAAGCAAATCGCGGAGAAGCAACAGCTGCGTCAGCTGGAGCGAGAAAAAGAGCACCAGCTGGATGAGACACTAGTGCGCAACAGCCAACTTGCGATTATTCTCGAGCAACGAGAGGAAGAGGTGAAACGATAAACTTGCTCTATGGTATTTACATTATTATCATTTATTCCCCGGTCGCGAGGTCACGCCGTCTTCCTCGTATGTTCTACAATCCGTACCGCTTCGTGGATTTTTATAAAAAAAGAAGTTGTATATGAAGAATTACGGGTTTTTTCTTCTGAAAATCTCTTGAAAAAATCGTTTGTTCATGGCTTGAAATAAAAGTAGTGACGTAATTTTTCGTGAGCCCTTTTCCCATTCAGGAGCGGAGAAAATTGAATCAAGAGATCAATAATTACCGACAAGTGTTTCAACGCACCGAGAATCGACGGGAGTTCGATCTTTATGATCCTGATTTATTGAAAAAATCGTCACCTGCGAGAGTGGACGATGATCCTAGGATCGGAGTGGCCTCTGCGCAGAAGTAAGGGCCAAGAGATTTTGGGTTTTGAGGATAAAATGGAATTCGTGTGATATAAAGGTGAATTCTAGATTCGAGGGGGAAGATCCTCATCAGGCAGAGCGTCTGAAGCTCCAGAAGGAGCAGATGCAGGCCTGGCTGATGCAGCAGGTCCATGAGAGAAGATCCATCGAGCATGAGCGAAAAAACGCCGAAGACGCACACCAGGAAGCCGTTCTCTCCCGGGACAAACGAGCCATAATGCTGGACCGCATGGAGATCGAATGCAGGAGACATCTAGAAGAGGCGAACGCTCAATTCAATCGCAAGCTCGTAAATTTCTGAATCTACTAATCATATCGGCTCGTAAAAAAATCAACTTTCGCCCGGATTTTCTAATGATTCAATTAATCGTTCCCGCGAAACCCGAGAGTTTCAAACGACGTTGAAAAGTGGTTTGCTCTGATCATTCAAGGCAGGAGAGCAGGACCAACGTCGTCGCGTTGAGAATTTCCAGGATGAGGAGAACAATCGAGCTGAGATATTTAATCACGTGACAGGTGATTTCCTGATGGAAGCGAAGGTGCAGGCTGGGAGCAGTCTTGGTCCCCATCGGGTTCTTGCTGACCGCTACAAGGGCATGACCTTGGACGAGCTCAAGGCAATATGGGCCGAGCAGTTGCAGCAGATGGATGAAATTCAGGTTGAACGCCGATGGACTGGGACCTGACAAGATTGTCATGTCTGTTCGTATTTTTCAGAGGATGAGGGCGGAGGAGAGGCGAAGAAATGATGAGTGGGACAGGTTGATGGAGGGCAATGCCCGGGCTGGTGAGCAATACCAACGGGAGCTCGATAGAAAGAGATCGTAAGTGATTTTATGTGAACGAATAAGAGAAATGAAAATAATTACTGGAATTAATTGGTATCTTTGAAGACAAATCAGCAGACAAATTGCCGACGAGAACCTTCGACTGGCACACGAGCAGAGGACACGCCAGGAGTATCTTAATCAAAAGGTTTACAAGGAGGAACATATGCCCGAATTTTTCAAGCAATTCAACACCAGCACGCGTTGAGATTGCAGGTGGATTGATTATTATTTAAATAAATGTGACACGTTCTCATTTCGATTCACTATATTTCATTAAAAAATGAGTGCGAATGATTTGAATATGATTTTAATTAATTTTGATCTGTGATTTCACTTACCAGTCGATGATAATTTGCCGCGAATCAATTCGGGGAATCCCGAGTTTTTCGACCACGCGCCCGTTTTTATCCGCAACTCACGTCCTCGTGTCCTTCCTTGTTGACATGATTGGTTCTCTCGATTACTTCCCGTGCCACCGTTTTTAAATATTCTTGTTGAAGACGCCCCACCATTGCGTGTGGCACCCTCTCTCCCTTGGGGTGGGGTACTACAATGCCGGTGGAGTCACTCAAACCCCCAGAACTGAGCCTCTACTTTAGTCAATCCTCTTTGGCTGTACATATCTTATAAATTCATTTTTTACTTAAAAAAAAGAGCTCTCAGTGATTAGAACCAAGAGAAATTGAAAATTAATTATTGCAAAATGTCGAACTTCGGGTTTGGAACGCCGGCAACGACGGCCAACACGAGTTTCACTGGTTTCGGCACCCCAAAGTAAGTATTTGAGGTTATAAATGTCCCTTGCATTTGTTCACATACCAATTAATTATTGAAACAAATTAATAAATTATTCCAAGGCTTACGACTGGCTTTGGCCTAACTGGAACGGCATTTGGAACACCAGCACCAGCTGCTAGTGGGAGTTTGACATTTGGGACTCCCACAGCTACTCCAGCAACAAGTGCACCAGCAGGCAATTTCAGTTTTGGAACTACAGCCACAGCAACCCCTCAGGCTCAAACTGGAGGGTTGTTGGCTAATCCTGGAACTACAGCTGCAACTCCCAGTTTATTTGGGACTCCTGCAGCTACTTCTGCTGCTCCCTTGACTGGTCTAGGATTTGGAACACTCACTAGTGCTGCTACGACTGGCTTTGGAGCCACTCCAAGTGCCACAGGATTTGGAGCAACTCCTGGTGCAACCGCCACAGGGTTCGGAACAACTCCCGGCACAACCGCCACTGGATTTGGAGCAACTCCTGGTGCAACAGTCACTGGATTTGGTGCAACTCCTAGTGCTCCAGCTACTGGAGGACTCAGTTTTGGGGCTCCGACTACGTCAGCTCCTTTGTTCGGTGCCGCACCCACCGGAGGCCTCTTCGGGGCGAAACCTGCAGCCACACTTGCTCCAGTCACAACAACTACTAGTGTAAATAAAGGTCTAGGGGGTCTAGACGTTTCTGTGAGTAATAAAGGACTTTCTCAAGGGAGCAGTAGTCTCACAGCAGCCAAGGAGAATCTTATACCTAATGAAATAACTCAGACCATCGATGCCTTTAAAGAATTTGTTAAGACCCAAAAGAGTCTCAGCTCGGACATAGCTAGAGGTTCGGCAAGACCATTGACCCGATGTGCAGAGGACACAGCCTCTCTCATGGAAATTTTGACAACTCTAGCAGGATCTGTCCAACGGGATCGATCTCTAGTCGATAAATTGAAGCAGGACACTGCAAAAGCCCTCCAAAGCGCTGAAATCGCACAGAGAACCCACGACACTCCTCCTGGCTTACAATATGAAAATAATGCGCCTCTGTTATTCTTCATGGAACTCGCCGAAACATTCGAGCAGGACTTGATGCTTTTCAGATCACAGATTGAAACCACTGAGAGACATATACAGACTATGATGACTCCTAGGACACTTACACCTCAAGGTTTATTTTTTTTTTCACAATTTTATTGTGCTGATTATTCATTAATTACTCCTGCAATTAAATCTTCCTTCAAGTGCTACTATATATTTACCGAAACGGCGTTTAGCCGGTTTAAATTATAATAGAAATTTATTTTTAATTCGTAATGCATGATTTTATTTGGGAGCAGAATTGACCATGGCGATGAAAAAAATTCACGAATCATTGGTGGCTGTAGCTGGTAAATTACAAGGAGTTCATGCAAAAGTCCAGCAGCAGAAGGAGCAGTACCTTAATTTACGAAAGTATATACTTAAGGATAGTACAAATGTTTTTGAGGAGATGAAACCGAATGGAAAAACCAGCAGACATAGCATTGGGAGGGTCACTAGTGGACCCACTCCATTTGGTCCAGGTAAATAATTTTCGGTCTAAAGATTAATTAATTTTATTCAAGTCGATTAATCAATTCCGATTTATTTCAGGAAACAAAAGTTTTCTCTCATCAACTACAATAAACTCAGGAAGACAACCGAGTTACGGATCAGCAAATCCACTCGGTGAGTAAAATTCCTGAAATTATTTCATTGTAAAGTAAAAAAAATTATGTGACTTTATTCACGTGTGTCTGTCGGATTTATCAATACGCCTGTTCCATAAAAGTATCCTCCGTTCAGGTCTTGCGTGGATCTAACGTGAGTTAGATTACACTAACATAATAAAACTGCACAAATTTTCTACTCACTGCTGAACAATTGCATAGAATATCAAATTACCTTGCGCCATTCATCAATCGCTGATTGATTATTATTTTGCTGCAATTGTCTCCACAGTCAGTTCAAGTTTCTACAGTAGTTATTCATTCTCCTCTAGTCCTTCAAACATCAGAGTTACATTATTTTACTATTATTTTGCCTTTCCAGGGGAAAAGTAATCGCTGTTTTGTAGTTATTGAGGTATTTGAAAATTTTTTTTATCTCTGTGTCTGACCCCTGCTGTTTACAATTACAAGGGCTTACGGTCATTCAAAAATCCCATGGGTATTAACTTGTTCTATAATTTGTCGAGCCGACACATAGGGAACGTCACTAATAATAATTTTACATACATGCGAATACTTTCATCAATTGCCTATTAAAAAAAAAATTGAAGAATTGAAAAAAAAAATTCATTGATCAAATGTCCTTTTGTTTCCTTGCTTTTCACCTTGTGGCTGCTCAATTTGTTTTGCTTCACCCACCGCTTAATTCTCATATCTTATTATTCCGACCTCAAAATAGTCTGCACTTTATTTGTCAATAGACCTTCCTCTTCCGTCTCGATTGCTATCTGCAAACTTAAATCATAACACTCACAGCTGCCTATTAAAATAATAATAAATAATATAATTAATTATTGAATAACAATAGTTACCACGTGCAGAGCACATACGAAGGAAAATTATCGGTTCGTATTGTCTGTCACAATAATAAATCATTTGAAAAAAAAATGAGAAAAAAAAATGAGAGCATTGTAATGAGAGAATTTTTTCTCGTGGATGTGTGGATTGCAGCTTGGGGTAATGCAACGCCAGTGCCATCGGCAACAAATATGACAATGAATGCTACGATGAAACCACCAACGGCGAGTTTAAATTTCAATCCACCGTTAAATCTGACCGCACCATTGTCGACGAGCGAAACGAGCTCGAGTTTTCAACTGCAGAAGCCACCAGTTGGTAATAAACGCGGCAAACACTGATACAAGTGTAATGCGCTGAGTTCGATGCATTGATTGATAGATTGGAATCGATCTGATGCGCAAATAGAAAACACATGCCTTGAGAGGAAATTTCATTCGATTTCATTTTGGATGGAATCCTGTGGATTGAATACTGTGAATTATTGTTCTTCCTCTGAGAAGGAATGGACTCACAGGCTCTCGATGATTTTCTCAATTGATTTCATCATTCAGTCGTTGAGATTTTTAAGCCGACGTGGCTAGCAACTGTGGTATATAATTTTTTTTGTGTAATAAAGTGTTTTTTAATTAATCATTGAACATACTTTTGTAACAAAGACGTTTATTCTCGCCGATAAAATACTGAATCAATTATGGTGAACATCATTTTCATATTTTTTTTTTTCGTAGAAAATTCGATTAGAAAAAATTGATTGAGGTGAACGTGATTAGAGTGCACCCACTTGGAGAATTGGAATCAATAGCCTGAATGCATCTTGAATGTATGAACTGGCATTGGTCGCCTGAAAGTGAGAAAATTAATTGATCAATTGATTAATTAGGAGCTCCAAATTATAAACTGAATTCAGAATCAACAACCGTCATAATTGTACGACCAATAAACTGTGTTTTTGATAATTATTTTTTCTATTGGGAAAATATTTTCATTTAAAAGTAATTTTAAATTTAAATAATTTTCAAACAAAACAATAATTGGGTTAGTTACCTCTAGAAATATTGTAGTAATATCCTCGGTATCTTTAGGCTTCCCTTCCCCATTTTTATTCCGTTCATTGAGGCACTTTGAAAATGAGCTCGCAGCAGTGCTAATTTGGCCGGATAATATCTTCGTTAACTGCACAAGAGCATCTGCCTCGGTAACTGTGCTACGACGTTCCTTCACCAGCAAAAGCTCAGCTGTTTTATGAAATCTCTCGACTGAGTAAGCGGTTAATCTTGCCAGTGTCGATATCGCGTTTTGAAACACTTCTTTATCCGTTATACTTGACCCTGGGGTTGACACATCGGTCAGATATTTCCTAGTTTCTTCCCAAATCTGTAAAATAAAATACAATTAAAATTCCCAGTTACAAAAACAGCGGTGACATTAATAACCTCGTTTAATCCTCCATAATGAATGCTAACACCCAGATCAGTACAGGCAGATTTTAACGTCTCCACGGAATTTTCTTCCGCATCATCTTCATCCTCCTCCCCGAGATCACAGAGTTCCTTGACCTCGTCAAGCGTCTCTTGCACTGACATCATTTCGTCAGAGTCCAAAGTAACCAACTTGTGCTCAATCTTAATGCTCATCTGCTTCGACAGCATCTCAAGTGCCTCCAGATGCACAAGGCCCTGAGCGTCATCAAAAAGAATTTCAAATGTTTTAATAATTTGATTGTTCTCGATGGTCTTCTCACTTGACTCTGCCTTCTCTTTCGCTTCTCTGAGAATTTGCGAGAGAATTGGCTTTTCAACTTCATTCTTGAAAAAAGCTCGTTTCTTTTTCAACCCAGGGTCACCCTCTTGAAGGACCTCCATCGTTTTTTTTCCGATGGTCTCCAGAGTACCTAGACCACCTGTAATCACTTTGGTCCCTGTCGTTTCGACTAATCTCGTAATTGAGGAGACTCCCGATATCCAACTTCCCAAGCCAAATCCACTCTGGAATTGACTACCTTCTGGAGTTGAAGGTTTTTCCTCTTTAATCTCATCCACTTCGGCACTCGCGGCAATTTCCTCAGAATCAGGCACCCCCATGCTTTCCTCCAGCATGGACAGACCTTGTGAGACATGATTCGTCAGAGTAGAAACCCCAACACTTGCAGTATTCAACAGCGAAGATCCCCAGCTTCCCCAGCTACCCCATCCTCCCGACTCCTCACTCACGTCCACCAATTTCTCAAGGACTGCCTTGGCATCAGCCTTATCCTCGACCTTCGTCACCTCCTCATCCCCAAAAGTCTCCCACCCATCCACCCCACCCCCTACCGACCCCTGAAATATTTCTTTAAAACTTTTGTTCGACTTGAGCTCCTCAGGAACGTCATCAAACTCTGGCGAGTCCTTGCTCTTCTTGACCCAATTATTCCTCCCCTGACTCTCCTCCTCAAGGATTTTCGTTGCTTCATCATCATCAACCTCCCAGCACTCTTGAATTATCGGAGGCTCCTTCCCAGCCTCAATAGCTCTCCTCTTAATATCCTCAGGAGTAAAAATATCCTCAGGTGGTGGTCTAGGCTTTTCCTCAAATACCTTCACCCCCAATTTTTTCGCTCCCAATCCCATTGGCTTCGTAATTTTTTCCTTTCGCTGTCTCTCAGGCCTCTGATGTCTTCTACTGGAAACATCCTTACTCCCTTTCTCAACAGATAAATTTTCCACCCCAGACACCAACTCCACTACTCCTTCATTAACTGATTCTTTCTTTTTTCCCAATAGTGAATTACCCTTTTGATCACTGTTTTCGATTTTATCGGTTCCACCAGCTTCATCAGAGGTTAAACAGGTACTTACCCTGGAAGAACCTGTGGATTCGTTGATTTCCGCGTTCTTGGGTGGGTGTAGGCCTTTTTCGCGTGTTTTTTTAGAATTCTCCGATTCCCGGAGTTCCTCAGACAAGTTCGTACCCCCTTGAACAGCTGTTTCAGGTATAAATTGTTCAGAAGCCATGTTCGAGTCCCAGGATTTGTTCTCGGAGTCTGAAACACACTGTTCATCATCACTGTCGGAATCGACCACTGAGTTGAAAGATTTTGAAGTGTTTTGGGGTTTTGAGGGTCTTGAATTCTCTCGGAATTCTATTTCTTCGTCTGCACTCTCGAAGTCATCGCTGTCGGAGGTTGCCATTGTCTTTTGGATTGTGATCTGGCAGTTTTGAGCACTTTTTCAATCGAGAATAATCCTCATTTAGGTTCGAGTACGGTTTATGCAGTAATTAGTACACCAATCGGGGAATAATTTTGTGATTACTTTCGTGGTTAGAATTAAATGTTACGATTTTTATTCACTTCGTCACGTCACGTCTTTATTATGTTATGACGTATTACAAACATTCGGATCACGTGGGAGAGACATTCGCTTCCATTCGTTTCCAGGTGGCTGCGCATGCGCAGGTTAACAGGAGTGCATTTTGAATGAAAGATTTTGAAAGACTGATTTTTCAAGAAAAAATTCTGAGTGTATCAAGCACTTGTCAAATTTTTTTGTACGTCACTTCGTTCTGAGTTGAAGAAATTATTTCTCTTTTTTTGTAATTTAATTGATTTTTGGAAAAATTAATTCCCCTCAAATCTCCCCTTTTTTAAAATACAGAGTGCACTGAATTAATAAATTCAGTCTTCAAGGAGAAATTCCCGGAGAAAGAAGAGTTTCGACCTTATTGCAATAAACAATCACGATTATATTATTTTGTTTTATTGAGAAAAATAAATTATAGTGGCTGAGATGATATTGATGCTAGAAATTGTCTATTGATTATACCTTAAAGACTTCTCGTAATAATTCTTAATCTGCAATTTTGCGAGAACAATTTTCCAGTGATGTCTCTCGCTCTCAGAACGTCTAAATTTTGAAAACAAAAAATAGCATAAAATAGACTTTAGAATCTCAAACGACATTCTGTAACATCAATGGTCTCGCAGGTATTCATTAAGGATCATAAAAATGTGAAAATGAAAATTGTGGCTTAAAAAATTTCATCCCACCATAAAGAGCTCCAGGGGTTTATGGGTCTTCAAGGTTTCACCGGTGAAAAGATCAGTCTAGTGTCGTTAAATACCCATGAGTGCTTTCCGATCCAATAATTAACTAATTAATCATTCGCGAAAGGAATTGTGTGTCAATTTTTTCAACAGGAGCTGAGAAAACCCAGAAATTCCCTCAGGATCGCAAATCCTTGCGAGATTAAAAAAAAACTTTTAGGTCGTACAACATTATTATTTTAATTCAACGCTATTATTACTAGAAAATCCTCCAAAAATTCAGTTTTTAAATAATTGCACAATAAAATTGCACAATAAAATTTTGGTTATTCTCGTAAGAGAATGAAATTTCCTCTAGTCGCTTGGGGCTGATTCTGAGGGATTTTGGAGGTAATGAAGGGAATTTGGATTATGGGGAGAGAAGACAGCTGGTGAAACGACAGGTGTTCGACTGTGGAGTTTCCATCGCATTCCGTCCGTCAAAAACCAAATGAAATCTTTGGAGATAATCGGCTTTGCCACCAGTCGCAGACGACTGAGATACCTGAACTTGGAAATTCATCCTTGACCCCTGCAAATGTGTACTGAGACCTGAGTAATGAGGTAAGAAAACTCAATGAAATTCCAAAAACGATACCTCAGACACGCCTTCCTCTCCACCCCATGTAAAAAAAATACTAAACACATATCCTCAATATTTTGTCTATTCCCTATATTTTTCTACATTATAAAAAAAAAAGATTTATGAATAACTCTTATGAGTTTTGAAAAAACATCAGAAAATACAGCGGAAAAAGAAAATTATTTGGAATTGTATTGCATAATTGATTTCTCATTAGAAAATCGTAAATGAGCGTAAAGATATCTTTCTGAAATTAGTAATTAATTCGAAAGGCCACCGGCATCGGACACGAGGCCAAGGAATAAACAACGATTACACGATACTCTCTCATCTCGTAATTTTATCGTTGGCGTGTTACGCATCAGCCATAACAATTACGTCAAACCCTGTCGACACTTTTGCCATGCCACGTGCTCCATCCGTACAGTAAAAATGTTTAGTATACTATTATCGTATTAATTCTCTTGTAATGTACATAAGAGAGAGATTAAATTGAATTCCAATGATCACCTCGTGTTTCAAAACAACACTTCTGCGAATTATCATCGGTATATGATCCCCAGGAACTTCAAAATAGAAATATTCTGATATATCATCATTTTTTCAATCAACCGCTCAATTTCACTCTTTTTCATTTTTGGTAGAGAGTAATAATTGCGGATTGTTATTATATTAAAAATTAATTTCCTCTTGAGTTCTGCAAATTCTGGAATTCTGTCGAGTCAGTTGCATTTGAATAAAAGAAGTCAATCCCACATTTTTAATGATTATAATTATTTTTGGTGATTGTAACCCGAAAAAAATGATAGGATATCCTAGAATATTCTAAAATCTAGAATATAGAATTGATATTGAATTATCAGGTCCCATTCGGCTGAGAATTCAATCGGTCCATATTGCCCCAGTCTTCCCTGCGAGTATTGAAATAAAAAAAATTCCGGACACGCGCCACATTCCTGAATTAATTCAATAATCCCCCGCGAGATGCCGTAATTATCGGCATAATCCTCATTTAAGAAAGTCCATAAACAAAAATGAAATATACCCGTTTCCAAAAATTTGCAAAATGTGCAAAACCGATTTCGCATTAAACAATCCATGTCCCCTAATTCCCAATTCAATACCAACAATAATAAAATCCTATTCTTTCCGTCATTTACTCCAAGCCCAACATTCAAGAATAAATTTCCTGATCAGTGGAATCTGTGGAATCATTTATTGTTAAACAAACCAGATTAACCGTCTAATTTTTCCCAATAGAAAGATAGGTTCCCTCTAAAAATGGTGTCATTAACCTATCACATCGGTGGGGAGAGGAATTTGAAAAGGGCGGGCGATACCAATTTGCAGAAATAGTAAATCGAGGAGTGCGCGCGTCGCTGGAATTGAAAATTCCCGCTGGGACGGTGGCGCCCTCGGGTAAAACAACCGGAAAACACGTGAATTATTGGAAAAGGGCAAATGCGAGTCCTTGTGGTTCGGTTGGCGTCGCGTGTAGCCGTCGTCATTCGTGGCCAGCGGTCAGAGACACGAGAAACCGTCTGATTCAGTCACCAAAGTGGGGGAAACGTGACAGTAGGGGACAGAGAGAGGTTGAGGAGAGGAGACCAGTGTGTTTATTTCATACGAGTGAAGTAGAGAGGGAATAAATAAATGTTAGTGAGTTGAAGTGAGATATAGTTATACCCAAGTTGGAAAAGCTCAAGTGAGAGAGAGGGGGCGCGAGTTGAGAAAGAGTCTCGATCGCAACAGCATGAAACGTTCAGGCATGTCTCGAACTCCCGGCATGCTCGTTGCTGGCGAGTAGACACTAAATACTCTCTGTGTCTTTACCTTTGGAATACCAATTTTACACATTTTTATAATCCCTTTATTATATTGTCTTTGAAACCAGTACCAGTGGTGAGGTTAAACAGAGGTTATATCAGTGTATCGGTTACGGGCTCTCGACATTTGTGCATTTTTTTCTGTGCTCCGATATTTTTCGGCTCCGTTTGCTAATTATTCACGTGAATACTGGATTTTTTTTTTTTTTCGACAATCTGACAGTGAGTGTGTGACAAGCAACTCGAAAAGACCATCTCGGATTCTGTTTGTTTTTTGGCTTTTTTTTTTTTTTGGAGAGAGGTTGTGAGACGAGTGACAGTGGGTTTTTTTTTTCTTCGAGTTTAGTCAGTGCCGGGGTAAACGGTTTGGGAGTTTTTTTTACCAGAAATACCACTGGTTGAACTGTTTGTTGTTGGGAACAGTTTGGAAACTGGAGGTTGAAGGAGGTTATTGGAGAGTTCGTGAAGAGTTTAATTCACTTACCCACTGATAAATGAAAGGATCAAACTTGAGAATTTATTCCGAGTTCTGGGGAATGGATAAACAGGTTGTGGTGAAGTGAGTGAATTTTTTTTTTTTCGTCTACTGGGTATATATCCTGACGAGTGGTTTTAGTGAAGAAACATCATTTTTTGGGTTGGAGTTTATTGCGGGGAATTGATTGTTGAAAGGTGAATTGTTGATTGATTCGTTGATTGGGAATTGGTGGGTCCTGAAGATCTGTATTTTCAATGATCAGTGGCTGGGTCGTGTCCAGTGATATTTATATACATCTTTAAAAAAAAAACTGGTAACAGACACGCATCTTCTTCTGCTGTTTCCCCCTCTTCACTGGCCCCTTTCCCTTGGTGACTTCTTCCCCCGGCAATGTTAACGGTGGAATTCCGCTCTAGAGGAATCTGAAGGCGGGGACTCTGACGTCACTCCGCTCATGATAATGAGGTATTCATGATGGCGGAGTAGCAAGAGTGGAATTGAGAAAATTTTTCAACAATTCCTCCCTTTTTTATCATCTGATTCTCACTCTTGCTACTTCGATTTTTTTTATTTATTAATTTACATTCCTTGGGAAGTATTCCTGCATTAAAGTGGTAAAGAGCAACAAGTCGATTCAACTGATTGAAACGATTTCAAGGGATATCTATGAATCTGAAGCAGATAGCGAAATTTTTGTTATTACATTTTTCGAAGCAATCAATCAGCTGTACAAAAGAGGTACTGGGAAAAAATTTGCTATCTCTCTTAGATTCGGAGATACTCCACGAGTAGCGGGCACGTTGAATTGTTGTCCCTTAGCACTCTATTAAATTTGTTGATTTATTATGGAGGGATTAGGGAGTTGTGATCTTTTAAGGAGAAGCTGAAATTTCTGGGAGTTGGGAATTTGTCAGATTCAGTGGATTGAATTGACTTTTGGATGACAAATAACTCAGGAATTCGAAGAGTCAATAAGATTAATTGAAAAGCTAAAGACTCAAGGAATGATGATGATGATAGTTAAATATTTACTCACGTCGAGAAATAAAGATAAAAGTCAGAAGTCTGTAGCTAAGAAATAGAGAACAGAAGATGAGCCCAAAAATATTGGATTGTTTTGTAAATACCTCGGTGACTAGTAGTAAATTTCGAAAGAATTATCTCACCGTACAGCTCTTCGATTTTTCAATAAAAAATGTTTCGCGTTTTCTTGTTAATCCCCTAATTTCAAAGATATATTCTGGAAATAATTGAAGAATCCGTTTTTCAATGTAGATAAATCCCCACATTCTCCACATATCTCTCTATAAATACTTCACCTCCCAAACTATCAGATGCAAAGAAAAACATCTCCGCAGTCTCCAGATTTGTCAACAAAAATGTTGATTTGATGTTCCTCAGAAAACCCTAACGGGTTTTTAAAATATTCCAAAAAAAGACTCGAAATAAAATAAATAATTCATTGAGACTATTCCCCCAGCATCTGAAACTACGAGATGTGACGAAAAATAGAGAATTCCTGTAGCCTTCAAAATTGTCTTTTTATAGTTTATGGAAATCTGTACGAGAAGGCCCTTGACAAATTCCAAAAATATCTTCAAAATGAAATATTGATTGGTCCGACCTTATCCTTCAGCTTACAAACGAATAATTGCTCAGTTTACGTTGAAAGTCGATAAAAAACAAGATCACAAGTAGGGCGGATTGATTAATGATGTTTTGTTGTTGAAATGTATCTCAATGTCTCTGTGTTTTGCTTTGAATCTAGAGCGCAGTGAAATATGCCAAGGAGACGGAATGGGGAGATACCACTTCCGGACGGGTGGGACGTCGCCCAGGATTTTGACGGAAAAACCTACTTCATCGATCATAACACCCGCAAAACCACCTGGATCGATCCTCGAGACAGGTAAGACTATCAAAACATCACGTGTTTACCTTCTTTTGGTTTTAAACCTTTCGATCTATCGATTATTAAAATCTTCGCGTCGTTATTGTAATGATCCCGAAAATTGGATGTGGAATTTCCACGATTTTCCACATTTTACGGGGTTTTTCCTTTTGCTGGGCGATTATTCTGGAATGAATGATGCAATTGAAATTTTATCTTTCAATCGATGCATCCTTGTGGAACAGAACTGATTAGTGAGTGGAAACAATCGTCTCAAAGGCTCGTCAGTCAGTCGCAAAAAAAACCATTAGAAACCACTCAAAATAAACTTTTTCTTTTCTAATTCAATCACTCGTCCCGTTGAAATTATCCAATCTGAATTATTGTTCATTCATCAATGAATATTCATCAGCAATCTACTATCGCGAATCCTGAACAAAATCGACTCACACCTCTTTTCAAAAACTTTAAAATTTCGACCGGAAATCCGATTCAATGATAAATTCAAAATTTAACATCTGATATTTATCTCACGTGTCCCTTTAAGAACCGCGAAAATTTCAATCTGAAAACCTGGAATGTTTCATGAAAATGCCAATTTTTTCAAAATTTTCCAAATTCCGAATTCGACGGGTAGAACTAGTGGAGTAGTGACAAATGTCAGACTTCAAATTTCCGAGTTTTGTTTTTCCATCCCTCGAGGTATTTTTTTCTTGCAATTGCGTTAGTGATCTCGGGAAGGCACATGGTTAGTACTCGTCTCTGGTTGTCGGTTTGCAATGTTGGCTGTGTTGGGTGGTGGTGGACTACTGCACGCACACTAAGTCAGGCCAATCGTTCGCCGCGCCCGCATTCCACGCGCCAGGGCCGCCGCTTACCTTTACACGTGCCCCTGACGTTTCCCTTTTTCTTCATTCCATTGCAAAATACCACCATAACACCACTCTTTTCCCTCATTTTCCCCTTATTTTTCCAATTGCCCCTCCGAACCCACCACCCCTCACCCGCCCCGAAAACGCGAAACCGCGAAAACGCGAAAACGCGAAAACGCGAAAACGCGAAAACGCGAGAACGGAAATGCAAAATATATTGGAGTGCACGTGTACATAGTTTAACAGAATTTAATTAACAAAGATAACGAGAGGGGGAATGCATGTGACATGTCAAGATCAGAGACGGAAATGATAATGAAGGAGAGAGATTCGAAGAGGGAAAGGAATATCCGAATTATTGATTAATATTAGCAAAATTAATTATTCGGGAGAATATTTCGGGTATATGGTGAATATATGTGAACAGATTTATCATGAATTCCGTTTTTCGGCTTTTATTTGTTGACTTGTCTGATGTGTTCTGCTGTTTCGCTGGCCCGAGATTGTTTAGGTCACGATTGTACCGTTAAAATCCTTGTCAGAAGAATCTCGTATCGATTTGCATTCCCCGTGGTAATTTCGCTATTTTTGGCTTCCACTTTGAAAGATGAAGAAGGTATTCTATTTTCAGAACACTTTGACGTTTTTAAAAAATGATATTTTCGGCTTTTACTTCACTTTTATTACTGAATTTTTATGACTTCATTATTCTGATGACGCTGAGAGGTCATTCCATTCAAATTCGAAAAAAATCATTGCGACATTAATGATAAAATGATCTCTCTGCATATTCTCCTTGAAAACTGGTGGAAAAATGAGCCTGAAATATCTTGAGAATGCGAACGTCACGAAACCGAGCGTTTACTTTCACTCTGGCTTTTTTTTTTTAAATTCAGACGTTACTTAAAATGTTATTATGAATTCAGTAGCGAAATGGTAAAGTCGACTTATCTCGTAGTTGAGGATTCAAGAGTATCTCAGGATGGGAGCAGGGCTGCTAAATTTTTATAACAATCTTTTCGCGAAAGAAAGTGTACAAACATTTTCCTGAATGGTTTCTATTTTTCTTTGATCAAGTTTAAGATTAATTCCTGAAAAATTCAACTTGGAATCGACTTTTCATCCTTCACTACTTCACTCGATGTAATGTTTCCGCTTCCACTTCACGGAATTCCTAATTGCGAAATATCTCAAGCCGTGTTGTTTAGTCAAAAGACTCACGAGAAAATTCCTCTGTGTTGTTTATTTTGAATTCTTTCACGCAAATAATTTTTAACTGAGAGGTTATCATCGTTCAGTGACCTTATCATTGGGACGTGAGATTTCGATGATTTCCGGTAATATTTAAATTATTTCTGTTGATTTTATCAGGGCTGTAAAATCTTATGCCGATGTTATAAAACAAGACACCGGTCTCGCATAAAATCTCTAATGAGTTTGTAATTATTTCGAGAGCACGAGATTTTCTGTAAATGCCTGGTGATATTTTTCCCAGTCCAAAAAATACCGACATAATATTCATCGGGGAGATAATTTCATGATTAACAGGAGATATTCCCTCTCATTACATTTCACTACTTTAGAGCTGAATTTTAGTACCGAGATTTGACCTCAAATTCGAGAAGAACGATAAGAACACACTAAAATGGCCGTGACACATTTTTCTCTCGTTTTTTTTTCTCCCGCAAAAAGAAAAAAGTCGTTTGATCAAAGCAGCACAATGTGTACTCTACAATACCGAAAAAAGAAAACGATGAAAAAGCACTTGAAGATAACCGGAAATCCGGTGGTGCTCGGCGTGCGATGAATATTTGAAATATTTGGAATTTCGCTGATGTTACACGCTCGAAAAACACGACAGGAAGTGACTAGGAGCGGTGATTTGACAAAATCTACGTGCCTTCAGTTTTTTTCTTCTGACATTTTTTTAAATGCTCAATTTCTTCATTCTGTTATCGCCTTTGGTGGAGAAATCTTGAGACTTGGTCATCTCACTATTGCGTTACCTCGGCTCTCACATCCCACACAACCGAAAAATCATTAATTTCTGATTTTTTTTTTCTCGCCTGTCGTACACATTTGACTTTCCTTCATCATGCGCATATGAAACGATATTGCAAAATTATTTGCCGTTCTCTCCTGCCAATTATAGTAAATAGCAAGATACTCTCAGATTATTTATAATAGTTCCCTTCAAAGATATTCATTTTTAAACAGCAAATATCATTGAAATTTCCAGCAAGATAAGGACAATACCTTTGTCTCTTGCATATACCTGCGATTTTTCATAAAATTCTCAATAAACAATTGAAAATTCACGCTGGCAAATAATCCAATTTAGCCTTGTGTGGGAATTCAGTTCACCCGTATTTTATCATTTTCGTAAAACATAATGTACGTTAATTCAGTCACTTACAAAATAATTGCACGAAATTGGGGACAATTAAATTCGGCATTTTATTCCAAACTTTCTTGTTTCTCGTTTGTCCACTCCGAGCTCCATCCCACTGATAAAATAGCGTGGAAGGGGAAGGACTGATGGTTGATTATAATCATCCCAACGTTTTTGTATATTTTTTTTTTCCCCTCTTCCAATGGTATTTCGTGGCGCAGTGGAATTCCGAATGAGAAATTCGAAGATGAACCTGCTTGTTTCGATGGCCATTTGTGTAAGAGTGTGGGGCTGGGTTCTTGTGGCATCCTGAAAAACTTTCTCCTCACCAGGTGCGAATGCACAGGAAACTTCTGTATGTCCTTTATTATCTCGTGAAGATATCTCAATATTTTTTATCACTTCGTAACCAACGAATATCAATAAAAAAACATCACCACAGCGTTAGGAAGATTCTTTTAATGGGAGTGTCTTTCTTTATCGAGTGAAATATTGCCTCTATTAAAAAAGAGAAATTCCTACCGAAAAATGGCCATTCAAATGAAAACATTAAAAAACTATTAAAATTCGTCTAAATCCATTTGATACGTCGAGTTGTTCAATTCACGAATATTTTATCATATTTCCTTTTTTATTTTCTCACGAAAAGTTCTTCTTGAAAATTTTTTGAATCAGTATCCATTGAAGAAAGACGGTGGAAAACAATTTCAAGTGTCACCAGTCACTACCTGTATTTTTTTTTTTAGTCTGTTTACTTAACAATTATCTTATTCTGTTTCATGTTATGTTGCAAAGTGGTAAACTACGATAAGTGCATTTTTTCGAGGTCGGTTTTTAGCAAATATCTTGGAGCCGAAGGAAAGCATAAATATTTTCACAATTTTTTTTATTTTCTAGCTTTTTTTTGCTCTCATCTTTCTCTATAAAAAAAAAGTATGTGCAAAAATACCGCTAGCTTCCTTTATGATCGAGATATTTTTAAAATTCATGTCGAAAAAAAATGCACTTAGCCTAGTTTACCACTTCGCTACTGATGCATCCTAAGGTTCACATGCGCTGTTAGAAAAAATCATAATATTTTATGGGTAGTTGGGTGCTGATTTTCAGGGCATTGATACCAAACGTCATTCCATGATATTCCAGGCTTCACAGAGAATTCGATAAACATCCAGAATTTAAAAGGCCATGAGGATGAGAATTTCCCAATTTATCCAAACTATCTGGTTTTTCTGAAAATTTCACAAAAAAAAAATTGCGTCTATGGATTTGATGTAGGAATCCCCTTATTCTCATAATTATCTCGAACATGAAATTGTGCACACAAATTGTCCTAACACGTGACCAAAAACGCAGGTAAATCCCCGTCGGAGTCTCAGATATTTGCATTCGTGGAAACGTGACCTCAGTTCTTGGAACTGGTTCCCTTCAAAAATAGTCCGAGGGGGTCTTACGTAGGAGGGGGGTCCCTAAAAAATAAACGAATACAAAGAAAAAAAGAATGGTAGGGGGAGGGGGGTATTGAGAAGGACAAGAAAGGTACGCAAGTCGCCGAATTATTTGCCTCTCTTTCTCACTCCTTCTTTTTTCACTCTCTCCCTCTTTTCCCCCGCGCATTTTTTCCCCTCCGTCGAACATATTCTTTTTTCACCTCGATTTTTTTTTTTTGAACTTTTTCTCTACACCTTTGCTAAAGGCAAGAAGCCTCGATTCGCCTTTTGTTGACCAATTTGTAAGCCGTCAAGCGATGGCGATCT